ACCAAGAATTTCTGAATTCTTACTGTTTGGTACCTGCAGAGACATCAAACTGTAATTGTTCAGGTTATTGTATCAAGAACGTCGATTGTCATTACATACAAAATATAAACCACTTTTTCATCCTTATCCTCTGCCTTCACAAATCTATGGATATATATATATTTCAATATTATGCATTCACAAGATGCCTTTAAGAGAAGTCTTGAAAAGAATAGAAATCACAGATAAAACAAAACCTCTTTATAAAGGTAAATGTAAATTTTTCTTCATAATACTTGAGAATTGTTCTTCTCTTGTTGGAAGATCTAAGGCCTGCAAATACAAAATGACCTTTCCCTGACAAACCCCTACAATGGGAATTTAAAACCTAAGATTGAAATGTTTCATTCAGATTCTTCATGTTAGAGCTAATCTTCACAACTATAGTTTACTTTTTATTTCCAAGGTAGAAGCTGTACATTTTGCCTTAGAAAAGAAAAATAAAATACAGCAGCCACTTAGTAGTTTCCACTTACTTCACTCTAGAAGTATGAATCTTTCTCAAATAATATTTTTCTCACAATCATGACAGGAGTTAGTCCAGGTAAAAAATATACTGTCTTTTTCTTGTCATTAAGAAGGGAAAAACAAGGCATGGTGATATTACTTAACTGATTTGTTAGAAAGTGGCTGTACCCAGAAAGGTAAATCACACAAGCTGATTGCAATAATTAATTTTATCATGGTAGATGCAGTATTTGAATTTTGGTAGACTATGATTATGTATTGTCTAGAACACTGTAAAAATTAAATGGGCAGAGAATGAGATTTTTTTAAATAAATGTGTCTATATACACATTTATGTGACGAAGTCATACAGAAAAGGATAACATTGTTTTCATTCGTGAGTTCAAGGAAAATTTATTAGTATTTTTCCCTTAAAGACTTTTTTTAATTTTTGTTGCATGAAAACACATTCCATGCTGAAGTTAGATATACCTGTTTTACCCCTTTAAGTTGAAAAAGTGAGATGAAACACTGCAGCAGAAGAGAATATTTTTGTACCTTCCAGCAGAAGACTGGAATTCAGCCTGCAGACATTTTTTATGCATCTTTACCTAAATTTTTAATTATTAAAACATACAAACATTGTAAAAACTATCTAACTAATGGAAATTTTTTCTACAAATTTTTACAAGCTACTACAGTATCAGAAACACTTTTTCTTGGCTCTGACAAGTGCTTTAATACTAGCTGTAGTTCTTAGTATTAGGCAGAAAAGGTGCTGGTTCAGTTCAAGGGAATTATGTAGATAAAAGTTCTCACCTTGGGATAAGCTAATGCATATAGGAGAAGAGGCTGTGTCTCTATTAGTAAGTAGTGCAGGTTAATAAAAGTGGTCTGCACAGAGAAACTGTTGGCCCTGAGGACCTGTCAACCGTGTTATAATCATCTTAGAGGTGATAAAAAACTAGCATTGTCTGATATGCACCTGGACTCTATTTTCCAGTTTAGTTTTGTATGGAAGAAGCATGGTGAGGCACTTCCAGGACACTCCACAATGCCAACAAAAGTGCAGCAGGCGGTGGTAAGCGCGAGGTTTAATTCTGAAGTGCAGTCCTCAGATTTTCTAAAACGCTAGTATAGATGGACTTCGTTAATTTACAAGAAAAAAAAACTTCTGCTAGTCCTTTTATAACTTTATGAGATGTCAAAGAAAACCCAATAAAATTAAAGGTTCAGTTTTTCCCTAGAAAAAGTGAATTTATTGGATAACTACCAAAGATATAAAATAATCTTCTTCTTAGTATACCTGGGAACACTTGTATATAGGGCTATACACTTATATTTTGCAGATCTGGTGAAGTTTTCACTGGCAATGGAAAAGAATCTATAATCTGTTGCTACAGTGAACCACACAGTTTGTGAGTCTGTGTTTGTGGAAGATCCTATTGAACTCGACCAGACTTTATTTGTAGAAACAGTGAACTGTGCCATGTATGAACGAGACCAGACTTACAGTGTAATCCACACTATTTGGGCATCTGAGATCTTATTGAATGTGACCAGAGTATACAATGCTGCATTGTTTCTAATTAGGTGCCTGCATCCAAACCTTCTGATCTCTGAGGATCAGCTGGTAAGCAAGAGCGTTTGGTTTCTGCCAAACCTTTGTACTCTTAATAGTATGCTTAGGCATCTGGACTCTCAGGATGTCATAAAACTGTTAAAGCTCTTCTACAGATAAGACATATATGTTTTTAAGGTTGATTTTAGGTCTTTTCTTCTACTACTAGAAATCTCTCTAAAAACTTGGGTCTTGAATTTTCTATTTTGTGCTAGGTAAAGTAGCATGCCCTCTTAAAGCCTCAGGTGTGGAAGAAACATGATGGATACATGAGCAATTTATATTGTATTCTGTAGTTTTATAAAATTTGCTTTAATATAGCTTTATAGATATTATAAATTGTAAGAGCCAAGATGGGTACGAGTCTCCTAGCTCGAACAAAAGGAACTTTGTACCAAGAAGAAGGTGGGGTTTGATAAAGTAAATAATTATCTTATTCTGACTAGATACCTATTATAAACCAATTATAAATGTTACATATTGGAGGTCTTATAGATCATGTGCATATGTACCCGAGCCCCTCCGTCAACACTAAGGCAAATGACAAAAGCTGGTTTTAAGATGTGGGATACTGAATGCAGAATTCTCAAAATGAAAGTTTTCTAATTTCTTGGAAAGCGCTAGGTCTTTCCGAATTAAATACAAACGTTGGGCTCAGCATGCTTGAGTCAGTGCCAGACCCATTTACTGTGGTGCCTCCAGAGGCCTTGTCTATACCCAGAAAGATCAGCCTTCAATTAAAAACCAACAAACAAAACTGCCCAAACCAAGACTACACATTTCATGCTCAGAGTATGAAAACAGTTATATATAAGCTCAGATCTTTAGCTGAAAACTGTTTTAAATTTCATTTTTTCACAGATGTTTTCTTGGCAAGTAGACTCAGTGAAAGGAATGCTAATGAGGTATGTTTACAGTTTTCAAGAACAAGACCAAAGGAATATGGTATTGTATCTACAAAGCTGATATGGTTTTCTTGTTGCTAACTTAGTAAGATACTCTTGACAAAGATATGTGCTGCTTGTCAACAGAGTTGTTCTTGTGAGTGAAGGTTGGCAGCTGTCTTGGCCACAGCAATCATGGAGTGATCGAGTTTAAAATGCCTGTTGCCAGCAAAACTTCAACTCTGGACATAAGGAGAGCAGATTCCAGGCTGCTCAGGGAATTAGTAAGTAAGGTACCCTGTAAAAATATTTTTGCAGATTTTGGGGTCCATCAGGTCTGGTCACTTTTTAAATATTATCTCCTAATGGCAAAGAGGTAGGCAATTCCTAAGTGTCAGAAGTTTAGCAGAGGAAGCAGAAGGCTGGCTTGACTGAACAGGGATCTTCCCTTGGAAATAAGGCAAAAATAGAAGGTGTATGCCCAGCAGAAACAAGGTCAAGTGAAAGGGGGAGAGGTCAGAGATGCTGCTTGGCACTGTAGGGAGAAAATTCTTGTGGTTCCACAGGGCTCCACTTCAGGCCCTGTGCTCTTCAACATCTTCATAAATGACTTGGATGCAGGAGCAGAAGGGGTACGAAGCATGTTTGCAGATGACACAAAACCAGGAGGAGCTGTTGACTCTCAAAGGCAGGGAGGCCCTGCAGAGAGACCTCAAAAAATTAGAGGACTGGGTAATCACCAACCAGAGGAAGTTCAAGAACGGAAAGTACCAGATTCTGCACCTCAGATAGGGCAACCCCAGATGCATATCCAGACTGGGGAACAGGATGCTGGAAAGCAGTGCTGCAGAAAGGGACCTGGGGGTCCTGGCTGATGACAAGTTGAATATGAGTCAGCAGTGCCCTGGCAGCCAGGAGGGACAACCGTGTCCTGGGGAGCATCAGGCAAAACATCGCCAGCCAGTTGAGGGAGGGGATTGTCCCTCTCTTCTCTGCTCTGCACTGGTGTGGCCTCACCCTGAATATTGTGTGCAGTTTGGGACATCACAATATAAGAAATACATTATGCTATTTGAGTGTCCGAAAGAGGGAGATAAAGATGGCACAGGGCCTTGAGGGAAAGCTGTTTGAGGAGTGGCTGAGGTCACTTTTCTGTTCAGCCTGGAGGAGACTGAGGGGAGAACTCACTGCAGTCTACAACTTCCTTGTGAGGGGAAGAGGAGGGGCAGACACTGATCTCTTGTCTGTGGTGACCAGCAGCAGAACCCAAGGTAACATCATGAACCTATCAGGGGGTATTAGGTTGGATATTAGAAAAAGGTTTTTCACCCAGAGAGTGATTGGCCACTGGAATAGGCTCCCCAGGGAAGTGGTCCCAGCATCAAGCCTGTTGGAGTCAAGAACAGTTGGAAGATACTCTCAGGCACATGGTGTGACTCTTCGTGTTGGTCCAGTGCAGGGCCAGGTGTCGGACTCAATGTTCCTTGTGAATCCCTTCCCTCTCAGCATATTCTGTCATTCTGGGACTCTGTAGAATAGCAAAGAAGAGCTTCATAAATATTTATGTGGAGTCTTAGTGCAGCATTACAATTTAAATGGTCATATTAGTATATACTTTTTCTATTGCTTCCTACTGACTATATTAAAACAAGACTACTATATATTAAAAATGAGACAACATTGTTTTGATGAACTAGACATTTATTCAAAAGAAAGCTAAATTTGGTGTATTTCCAATTTATGCTAAATTCCAGCAAGGTAGCTAAGCTGGCTCATTTACTTTGTGGGATGTGGAAATTGTAAGGTTCGTGTCTTTGGACTGTGGCTGATCTCATTAGGGACCTAGAGGGAGCAGCTGAGAAAGCTGGGACTGCTTACCCATGACAGAAGGGTTGAAACTAGGATATCTTAAAGATATCTTCCAGTTCCAACCATTCAATGATTCTATGATTCTATGATGTGTAAGAGCTGGGAACTTCCCAAGAACATGGTTGATATGCAAGGTTTATTTGCTGCCCCTATGTCACCGATTGTGACATAGTAGATCTTCCTGCATGCTCAAGCAGAAACTCCTGCCTGTGGCTTAAGAAACTGTCACCAGAATGCCAGCATAGATATGCAGAGCTCTCTGAAGGGAATCATTTTCCTGTTACTACATAAGGGCACTTCCAATCATGTCCGCTCTCCTGTCTTCTATGGTTGCCCTGTTGCCAGGAATGATCCTCATTTTTGGCTTGATTGCTGTGTTCTGCGTCCTGCTTTTCGACACGAGACCTCATGGGGGAACAAAGATAGTCAGGAAGTGCAATAAATCAGGAAAGACTGAATATTACATCTATAATGTAGTCACCAACCCAAATGTAACTCAAGAAGGCACTGAATTCGATACAGCTGATTTATTAGCCAAGCTGGCCAAGGAGATCAGTCCCAATTCCAATGTGGTGGGTACCAGGATTTTTATTATTACTGTTATTATTACTATTTCATCTTCATCATCATAATTATCAATTTTTGTTTTGTTATTATTCCATGGTCAATTTCAAGTGGAGTTTAACTCTATTTTTAATTCATCCTAGGTTAGATGTTAGAAAGAAGTTCTTTACAGAGAGAGTGATCAGGCATTGGAATGGCCTGCCCAGAGAGGTGGTGGATCCACCGTACCTGGAGGTTTTTAAGATGAGGCTGGATGTGGCACTGAGTACCATGATCTAGTAATCACAGTGGTGTTGGATCAAGGGTTAACTTGATGATCTTGAAGATCTCTTCCAACCCAGTTAATTCTATGATTCTATGATTCTATGATTAATTCTATGATCTTGATAGGTAGGACAAAGGGATAGCCCTACTGAAAGCAGTGGAAATCAAGAATATTGATGTATTGTTGTTTATAATGCTTATAAGCTGAGTTCTAGAAGTACTCAAAAATGTCATATATTGATTATAGATCAGGCCTTTGCAAATAGTTCATCAGCTTTGAGAAGAAAGTGAGTTGGAAGATTTCAGACATACCTCTTGGAAGACATTAATAAATTTTAAGTTTTATAATAGATGTTTTATGGTTTTTTGAACTTGAAAGTGTCAAAGGATGGTAGAAACCCCCCAAACCTACAGGCAACATGAATTTTCACTTTTTTGTTACTCTTTGCTGTTTTGCTATTTTTGTTCTTTTTTATTTTAGTGATTTTTTTTAAATTTTATGACTGTAATTAGGAGATCTAAAGTATTCTACAGGCATTTGAGATGATATTAACTTGAAAACTATGTTACCTTTATAGAAATGGGAGATTTCCCCATCAGTATTTCTCCCTTTGGTGAAATTCAGAAAGGAAATAATTTTAAAAATTATAATATTGTTTTGCTCTTGAGCTGTAACTTAGTTCTGTACCAAAAAGGATGAATTTAGGGCTTGCCAATGCATTGCATAAAATAATTTGAATAGTGAAATTTGTGTTTAAGTTTAGTATTTTTATGTCTCTGAATATGAAGGCAGGCCTGACAAGGTAGAGTTAGTTTGTATGTTTAAAGGATTTATAATGTATGAAAATACTCTGTGCTAATCTCATGTATTTTTTACATGTATATATATGTATACTTACAAATGTATATCATGTATGTGTAAATACACCCTGGAACATGGCTTTTTTAGATGACAGGCTAATCTATTCAGCTCTAGAACTTTTTTTTTTTTTCTTTTTGTTTATTTTCCCCTGTTAATAATCTTTGCCTAAATCTGCTGTATTTTGATTCCTTTTATTTTAGTTGTTCTCTGTGTATTACCAGTTTCTGGCCAAAATAAGTGGTGATGTTTGTATTGTCAACTTTATGATTATAACAAAAAAATTGTGCTGTTTACATTTCTTGAAAACTTAAAAGTCTGCAGTTCTTTATGGTATAAATTCACTTGGATTTCATCTACTGGGCTTCATAGGTTATATCATCTTTTAATCTGGTCCCTTCCTGCTCAGAGCTACAGATCAGGGAAAGAATGTAAATCTGTAATATATGTACAAATATATATGCGTATGTGTATGTGTATGTATACATCTATATATCTATTTATCTATATATCTATATATCTATATATCTATATATCTATATATCTATATTGTAAGTGCTGGGGTCTGTCAGTGCTGGTCAATTTTTAAACATCACCTCCTAAGGGTAAAACAGCAGGAAATTCCTAAGTGTCAGGAGTCAAACAGATGAAGCAGAAGGCTGGTTTGATTGAACAGGGATCTTTCCCTTGGAAATAAGGCAAAAAAGGAAGGTGTATGCCCAGCAGAAGAAAGGTGAAGTGACATGGGGAGAAGTTAGAGATGCTGCTTGCCACTGTAGGGAGAAAATTCATGTGGCCAAAGCTCAACTGGAGTTGAAGTTGGCCAGAAACACAGGGGACAATAAAAAGAGGTTTTTCAAACATATTAATGTCAATAGGCCTTATAGAAATATCACTGGCCTATTACAGGAGGAGGATGTTCACCTCACAAACAGGGATGGAGACAAGGCAGAGGTGTTCAATGCTTTCTTTGCCTCTGCAACTCCAGATGCATCTCCAGGCTGGGAAATGAGATGCTGGAAAACAGTTCTGTGGAAAGGGACCTGGGGGTCCTGATTGATAGCAAGTTGAAAATGAGTCAGCAGGGCCCTGACAGCCAGGAGGGACAACAGTGTCCTGGGGAGCATCAGGCAAAGCATCACCTGCCAGTCCAGGGAGGGGATTGTCCCTCTCTGCTCTGCCCTAGGGCTACCTCCTCTGAAATGTTGTGTGCAGTTTTGGGCATCCCAATATAAGAAAGATATTAAGCTCTTAGAAAGTGTCCAAAGAGGTCAGTGAAGATGGTGAAGGGCCTTAAAGGGACTTCACTCCTCTGTAGGAGGAGTGGCTGAAGTCACTTTTTCTGCTCAGCCTGGAGAAAAGGAGATTGAGGGGAGAACTCACTGCAGTCTACAACTTCCTTGTGAGGGCAAGAGGAGGGGCAGGCATTGATCTGTGGTGACCATTGACAAGATCTGAGGGAATGGCCTGAAGCTGTGTCAAGGGAGATTTAAGTTGGATATTAGAAAAAGGTTCTTCCCCCAGAGGGTGGTTGGGCACTGGAACAGGTTCCCCAGGGAAGTGGTCACAGTGCAAAGCCCCACAGAGGTCAAGAAGCGTTTGGATGATATTCTCAGGCACATGATGTGACTCTTGGGGATGGTCCTGCGCAGGGCCAGGTGTTGGACTTGATGATCCTTGTGTGTCCCTTCCAATGATATCAAAGCATTTCACTCAAAACAAACACAGTGAGGAAATCCAAGTACAAAATATTTATTGCAAAGCTATATAGTAATACTGTCAATAAACCAAATTTTCACCAGAACGAGATAGTACTAGGCTACTTCTTCTACTGAGAAACCCGTAAAATGTGCTTCTGTCTATTTAACATAGGTGTATATGCTTATTCTTACCTCATTTTACCTATAGTATCTATCTACTGATTCAGGACATACTAACACAGAACATAACTTGTTGTAAGAAGCCACTGCTTAGTACTGAGTTCCAGAGATGGTTGTTGCACTCCATGTGCATAATAAACCTGTCTTTTCTCAAAGGTCTTACAGTGTGTAAACTTTGAATAGCCATCATTATTAGGTACTGATATATTTTATAATGATGCATTGTGAAAAATATGGATGAAGTTAAATCTTTTAACTCTTAGAACCATTAGTGGTAATATTAGTCCCTTAGACAAACAACAGAAATACTGTTTCTGGTCCATTTAAAACTGCTGACTACATGATGAAAATGAATAGGAGAAAATTAATCTGCAGCAGTAGGTGGTAACTTTGCAAAGTAATCTCACTTCTCTGTGTTTCTGTTGCACAGAACACTATAGATAAAAGACAAAAAAGGGGAAAATAGCTCATTATTATGTAAGTGGGAATAATTTGTTTGTTTGCTGGTGTATATCCAAATATTAACCTGAAAACTGCAGAGACTGCAGGAGCTCTTTTTGTTCTTTATAGTTTTTTGTATGTGCAAAACCAGATATGACAGAAACCAGTTGTGGATTGGATTTTCAGATGCTAGCACAGTATTAATTAGAGTAGGTAGAATAACCGTGAGGTGGTGATCAATCTGGCAAATTTTAGGTGAAAATAACAGAGGTGGGGAATATAACCTCTGTTACGAGTACTTCCCAGACTGTTTTCCACCCTCGTAGAATATTTCCTTTTGTTAGAATTGTAAACATGACTATGTTTTGAGAATCGATAATAAATTTTTCTAGGACAGGTAAGTGCTCTTCTCCTGGGTCATTACCAACAGAATACTGAATCTCTTCTTTATTAAGACCTCAGACTTAATTAACTTAAATTCATTTGTTTTCACTTACAAAGTATCTGAAGATCTCTCCAAAAAAGCGGATCTTGCCTGGCACCTCATCAGAAGAGGATCCTAGTCACAATACATGGCATGTTCAAATGAAAACTAATGCCCTGGAGGACAGCAGTTCAGACGAGGAAAGTTATGTTTTGACCTGTGAAAAGGTGAATGACAACTGCTTCTTAATGACATACACTGACCAAAATGAACCGACTGTCCAGAACTTGCAGGACATTTTATGGTTCCTCCTGGAGACATTTTGTGGCACTTCCCAGAAGACAGGTTATGTGAGATCCACCAATGTCAGTAGGAACAGAAAGACCAAGAGGGCGGCAAAAGCCAGGCCAAGAAGGCAGCAAAAGCAAAGCCAAAGAGAGTGAGCCTATCCTGTTATCAGTTTGGCAACTTGCCCTTCCACAGCATTCAGTGGAAAAGAACCTGCTCTTCTTCGTCACCTAAGAACTAAGCTTTCTGGTGTCTTTCTTATTGCTTCATTAAAAATTCACTATGTTTAACACTCATGGAGTCTATTTATAGCTTTTTATGTTTAAAAGTAATACACTCCCATTGTATAACTGACAACCAAATTCACTATTTTAACTACAGTGAAGAGGAAGCTAAGGGTAAGTAAATGTTTTTATTTTTAATTTTCCTTTTGAGAAGTAGAAATACTCATGGATAAAAGGATTTTCTCTTAGTTTTAACAAATGTAAGTCTCTTCTACTAATTGATACCTGGACAAACATTCCCACTGCCACCTCTCAAAACAGAGAACAAGTAACAGGTGTCTTAGGGAAATAGCTGTCAATTATTTTTAATAATATGTTTACTGTTCTAACACTAAGATAACATGCACCTTTCACTTTCTACTTGGATAAACTATTGTTGTGTCTGAGGGCAAGCTTATTTTTTGTGCATTCTAATTTAGCTATGGAGAAGCTGTGTTGTGAATAAGTGGTTAGGCCTCTTAAGGAATCACCATTAAAAGTGAACTTCAGTAGGGTTCAGTGGCAAGGTTGACTCTATTACTTAATGCATAGATGAAGTATACATAAGAAAATCAGATTAGAATCCTTTTAGAAAGACTTACATGGAGACTAGTTGTGGTAGGATGACCTACTCCAATAAGGCCTAGAATCCAATAGGAGAATGCATAAAAATGCAAGCTATCATGCAAGTTATCTGTGGTGAGCTACAGCTGGCTCCAGGGTAAGGTTTTGGGGTTGAATTATGCTAAAACCAGCCTAGTTCACCAAACTTCAAAACCAGCCTAGTTCACCAAACTTCAAACACACATCCTGCTTTTGATGCAGGTTTTGACAGATAAGCTGTTCACTGGCCTGTAAAACTATAACTACCAGCCCATCACTGGTAGTCATATATAAAGACCCATCTGACTTTCATATGGTAGATTCTTCCACATACTTCCTTGAAGTGTAGAGCTTCTCCCACGAAGCAGGGACATCTCTTCATAGTTATTCCTCAGGGGATAAGAGGAAAAGAAATCTGCCTGCTATCTTGTGTGGTATCTCTCTGTATCTCTATTTAATTATTTTTCTTTTTCTAGCTTTGATGCAATTGCTTTAATAGAATTGCTTTGATACAGTGCACTACACTACTTAATGTTGTATTATACTCTACTAGTAGGTTTTTAGCTTTTACACCATGTAATAAATAATTCTGATTAAGATGTTTTGTCTGTTCACTCTTCTGTTTGTTCATTTGTCATAATAAATTATTTTTATATAAATATATCCTATTTGCCTTCATTAAAACCTGAGAGACAATGTGATTTAATTATACCTCTATAATTCCTTAAATTTAAACTGTTGACACAATTTGAGGGTAAGATAGGATTCAGCCGCACCTGGACCCTTTTCTGAGAGGGAGTTCAGAAAACAACAAAGTCCTTTCTGCACCTTGTGACTCAACTGGAGGGCTTTTTTAATAACTTTGTCTGAGCTTTCCCCTCCCTTCTGCAACACTGGTGATGTTTATGGAGCTTAGCAGCACTTAAGCAACAACTAATTTAACATAAGGTTATTCAATAGAATTTGCTACGATTATAACAATTATAAGTGATCTAATTATAGATTCATGATAACCTTCATACCATAATAAATTGACATATACACACAGGCAAAAGATATATACATCTATATCTATGTGTGTAAAGATACCTATCAAAATTTCCCCTTGTGTTCAGTGAAATAGACCAAATCCCTTAGCATTTCTCAACAGCCTTGCACCTTGAAGAGTGGTGCGTGTGTGCATGTGTGCATGTGTGCGTGTGTGCGTGCGTTTGTGCGTGTGTGTGTGCGTGTGCGTGTGTGCGTGTGTGCGTGTGTGTGTGTGCGCGTGTGTGCGTGTGTGCGTGCATTGTATCCGCCTAGGCCTCATCAGCAGCAACAATCTTTCAGTTTTGGTAACTTGAGGGTCCACAAGTTCTGCAAGATGTCCCATTCAGAGGGAGTTGCTGGCACAGCCCACTTTTCCAGGAGAACTCGAAGGGCCTTGCTTAGGACTGCTGTTCATAGGGTCACAAGATGACTGGCTTCTGTCATCAGTAAGTTCCATCCAGGTCATAACCCAAGCTGGTAGCTACTATATAGTTTCCAAGACATTTGGAAATAATTTCCAAAACTCCAGCAACAGTGGTGCTTTTCCACTCGGACTATGATTCAGGCAGGCAATGTTCCAAGGCAGTTAGGGTGTGGCTGATTATCCTTTGTTCTCCACCTCGGTTGGGCAGCTGATGTTCCTGTTACAATCAGTGTTCCCACCTGTATCGTGTAAGACCAGCTGGTGTGGTCAGGGACGCTTCCTCACCCAACTGGTACAGTAAAGGGGCAGTTTAATACTCATCCAGTTCAACCAAGGCTGAGATTGTAGAACAGGCTTGAGGGTAGCTGGGATACACCACCACAAGCTTAAGAGACAAAGTGGCAAATAGTCCAGTCTATATTTTGGAAAAGGGATATGCAGGGGCTGAACTGCATTCCTGTGAATTACAGATGGTTTGGTGTGAGATCTAATCTTGCTGATTGTCCAAAGTCTGGTTTTAGGCATAAGCATATAAATTTCACTTATTAATTTCATTGTTTAGAATATTTCAGCAAATCAGTGAATTATGGGCCAGATCTGCAGCTACTGGGAAATGGACACATTCCACTAACTTCAGCAAAGAGGCATTTGTCTGTAATGTCTGAAGCTGTGTTACAATATCTTTATAAGCACAAATAGACAAAGGCTTGAAATGAAGTTGAAGAAGAAATACCAAAATTTTCCCTACTTTTCTATTTACCTGTATGAAATTGCCATTCAACTGCCCTGTTAAGTAACTGAGTGCTCATTTGAAATGTTAAATATCTTGTCAAATGAATAGGTACAGATTTAATGTTTTAACTTCATGAATCAGGGCTTCTGCTACATTTTTCATTCTAGTTGTGTACAAAATGGAATTGGAATAGAGAAAACTACTAAACAGTGTTTGTGGTGAACTAGAGACAGATAACAGAAGATTTATGTCTACATTAGAGGCTTGCTTGCACATAGACTTGTGTGGAGGAGTCATTATTTCCCTAATATACGTGCAATTGAAATTTTTGTAGGCACACTTGATTAATTCACACTTCATTGCCTCTTTTAAAGTAGCACTTTTCCCCTGCAAAAATCCATTTTCTTTATTTGAGTCTTATGAAAAATATAAGATTCCACAGTGAGTTTCAGAGGAGTGTGCTTTCGATGTAGCAGTTTTACCATAAAACCAACTCCAATTTTGAAATACCTTCTGAATTTCACAGTTTGTGAAATGACAATTTGCTATTTCCATACCTTAAGGCTGTGTTTGGCAATACAAGAGTGCCTCCCATTAACTCATTTATGATGAGGAGGTAGCCTTTCAGTGCACGGAATCTGATGTTTGGTGAGTCTTCAGCAGTGTTTGTCTTCTTCCTGGCTGGGATTTTAGTTGTCAAATATCTTTTGGGTAATTCCCTCTTCAGAATCCAGGGCTACACACACACAGTCTGGAGCTGAAAAAAAGAATTTCCAGACAATAAAGGAGATACTCCTGGGGGCACAGAAATATGGCCAAGGACTGTCACAGTCTGACATATATACAATGCAGAAGAGTTTGCACTCTGTAAGCAACACTGTATGTGGAAATTCAGAAATATCAGCTGGAAGCTTTTCTGTTGACTGAGCTCTTGAACTTCCTTTACATTTAATATGTTCTTGGGCACTTCCTAGTTCTAAGATACTACAACATGGCTTGCTGATAAAATTGAACTTTTTTTTAAAGACATATGTTTCGTTATTGGAGACTGACTTCATCAGCTTTTTCACCCTAAATACCTTGTCATGAGAATGTATATTACCCTTAGATTAATGGAGAACTCATGGAGTTTCATCAGTCTCATGACTGGTCGTTAGAGCAGTTCTGCAGGGATCCATTCTAGGTCCAGTGCTATTCAACATCCTCATAAGTTAGTTGGATGCAGGACCCACAGGTATCCTAAGTAAATTTGTCAATGATACTAAACTAGGAGGAGCTGTTGACTCCTTCAAGGGCAGTGAGGTCCTGCAGAGACATCTCGAAAAATTAGAAGTCTAGAAATTCACCAGTTGTATGAAGTTAAACAAGGTCAAGTGCTGGATTCCGCACTCAGGACAGGCCAGTCCTGGTTGTGTGTCTAAATTAGGGAACAAGATGCTGGAGAGCAGCACTGTGGAAAGGGACCTGGGGGTCCTAGTTGACAGCAAGCTGAATATGAGTCATCGGTGACCTGGCAGCCGGGAGGGACAATCATGTCCTGGGGCATTGCCAGCAGGTCAAAGGAGGTGATTGTCCTCACTGCAGTCTTCAACACTGAACTTTCTCTGTGGTGACCAGTGACAGAACCCAAGGAAGTGGTGTGAAGCTCTGCTGAGGTGGTTTAGTTTAGGTATTAGGAAAAGGTTCTCCACCCAGAGAGTGGTGCTGGTCCAGTTGGACACTGGAACTCCAGTTCCAGTGTCCTCAGAGAAGTACCCAGATCACAGTACCACTCCTACCAGAAGTATTTGGGCAATGTACTCAGGCATATGGTATGATGCCTGGGGCTATCCTGTGCAGGGCCAGGAGTTGGCTTTTGATGATCCTTGTGGATCTCTTCCTACTCAGGATATTCTATGAGACTATAATGCATATGAGATATCTTAGCTGTACATTCTTCTCACTGTAGCATGATTACATTTGTTTCATGACAGATAGAGGTCCAAGGAGGGTATGAATGTTGTTTGCTCTGGAGTGGCGCTATCTTGGTTTCATTCTATTACCATGACCTGCCAAATATTTATATACCTTTTAATATAAAAAATTGTGGGTTTTTTTCTTTAAATGGTTTTTGTCTTTTTTTGACCCTCTAAATATTACTGAAGGCTTTTCGGATCATTTAAAAGACTCTTGTATGATCTTTCAGATTCCAATCTCTGTGAAAAGAAAAATACATGCCAGAAAAAATGAAAGGATTCTTGAATA